ATGTGCAGTGTTAAGGGAATGATGTTATGGTAATGAAAACCCAACTGACCAGCCAAGTGGAGGTGCTAAACATTTACAAAGCAGAGATTCCTGTAGTTCTGATAATACTGTGTTGCCACTGCCCTTTCATGTTATGTCTTTTTAAAAGTTAACATTAATCCTCAAAAGCACCTGAAGAGCACAAGTGATCTAGTTTCTCCATCAGGGTCTTTTCATGGTGGAAAATATTTCTCTCTCTTTTCGGGCAAAGAGACAAAAAAACTTCAACTGTCATTTTGGGAGCTTTTGTGAAACCAGGTTGCATTCTGCAAGGTAAGACTTTGGCAGCAGTGGGAGTGTGATGCAAGTTCCTGAAACTTCAGATGAGCATGATTTGCTCCCTTAGTTATTCATAAGGTGGTGTTTGCCTTAGGTTTGTTTTGTTCATTTTTGCTTTCCAAGAATGAGAAACTGCCGGCAGCAACTGTCTCTGTAGTTTTATCATTTCTTGAATATTGAGGCTTCCTGTACAGTTTTCATGGACAGTGTATAAAGTGCACAGTTATTCTTTTCTCCAAAAGAGAGCTAAGATGCTCAATTTCTTTTTCTTGTAGTGTTATTTTTGTGTAATCCAAATTAAAATGGCATCACACATACAAACATACCAAAAAAAGTGCTTCAGGTATCATTGTTGTGAAAGCAAACCTTCATATACGTTAACTTTAAAATATTATCAAGACATTATTGTTGCTCTTTTTTTTTTTTTTTTTTTGCCTTTGGACACTATGGCTCCAACTTGCAGCCATTACTGTCGGACATCTGGATTTGAAATTAAATCGTTCATTCTGGGTCAGTCTGAATAACCACCAGGGGCCTTAACTGGAAATGAAACAGTGGAGATTCACAGCTGCCTCTTGTTTTTTTGTTGTTAAGTTCAGTTATAGCCTCAACTTTATTTATGGGGAACTGTCCTCCATCACAGTTGCATGATATCAGACACAACCTGTCAGCTACACACTCCGTTTTCATTTTCAATCTGACATTGAGTCCACTCTAACCGATTTCTGTGGGGGAGGGGTATCTGACTTTCCCCAACCAATCACTAAAGCTCAACATATCCACCTGAATCTAGCGTCATTTTAAGTCCACACTGAAGTGTACTCATACCAACATACTTGCTTTGCTTGGATTTTAGGAGTGGAGTGGAGAGAGTAAACAAACTATGATGTCAGGCGATATGCAGAAGCAACCTCAAATATTGCTGCTTGATCAGTGATTTCCATGTCAGACACTGATGAGAAAAGCCATTCTTTCCCAGCAGAATGACACAGCGCCGGAAGGCATCATTTAAAAATGCTGCCGGAAAATAACGTGACTTAAGGACCTGGAAAGTCCCTATGTGGTGGGCGGGAGGGGAGCTGGATGGGTCCAACAAAGACCGGACTTTCACCCAGGAGACCAGTGAATATTGAGGCAGACCATAATGTTTTTTTCTAAATCTAACCATGTTACATACGGAATTATGATAAGGGTGTGATGTGTTTTACCAACACAAGTTTCTTTTGAAATGATTGTATGCATCTAACGAGCAGAAACTGTACAGATATTGTACATTTTCTGTGACAGACCAAGTGTATTTTCAACTGACATGGCGTCCCGGAACGTCAACAACAGAAGCACCCAGGTAACCTAGCACGTCATATGTAGACGTCAAAAGTCCACAGAAGAAGCAGGAATATGTGACAAGATAAGAATGAGAATATGTTGTGTACGACATGCCATTTTAGGATAACCTTGATAGCAGGGTCTAGCTTGTCTATAGCACTCTCCATTGTTGTTATTACTCCACCATTTTACAACTTATGACAACAGCTTGACAACGTATCCTACAGCTTGACAGCATGTCCTACAACTTGACAGTGTGTCCTACAGCTTGACAATGTGTCCTACCAGCGGCACCGATTGGCTAACTGTTCCCAGGCTGTTTAATGCCACGATGCCACATGAATCCATCAACTCATTGGAGTAGTCGGATTTTGGAGGTCTGGACCCAGGCAACCATCACAGTATCATGGCATCAAAAGAGCGACATAAACTTACAATTTTGAAGGAAAATCCCACTTTTTGGCAGCATCTCAGCCTTTTTACTTGATAAATGACTTAAAAGTTTTTAAATTAGCAAAAAAGATGCCAAGTATTTTTTTTTTTTTCAGTAATCAATCGGTCTACTGGGCAACTTCAACCTCAGCTTCAACTTCAACTTTCCAACCTCACGTAGGGAAACAATGACTAAATTACATTTGTACTATGTCCAGATTGCTCATATGTGACACAGATCTGTTTTTTTCCTTTCAATTCTGATTTGGGCCGCTTTTATATGTGGTCCTTAGTCAGATACAGATCTGATTTTTGCAGTCCAACCTCAGTTTGAACACTTGTATCAGAATTCTTATGACTTTTAAGTCAATCTAGATCAAAATTTGTGAGGATTATGTGATGCAGGAGTCACTTGGTCAACAGAAACATAGAGGACACCCTGAAATACTGGATGAAATCTGTTTCACTGAAGCCATTCACGTCACAGTCCCACTATGCCTGGCTCTAAATCACCATACAAACACCTTTGTACAGAGGTAGCACCATTGCTCCACAACAGGCCATAATTAAAAAACGTGGCTTTCTCTCTTGTCATATTCTTCATCATGTGCTCACAAGTTTGTTGACTTCCGCTGCACATCTGCTTATAAATGAAACAGTAAATGCTGATGTGAGTGGTCTCCATGTTTGCCTCCATACAGCAGTGTGAGACATCAAACAAAAATAAAATCTGAGCGATAAATCCAAATATAGCACTGGGGCTTGCATTGTTAACAAAGTCACAAAGCGAATATGTCAGGATTTCTCGATTTAATACAGTTTTTTTTTTTTCTTTTTCTTGTGACATCTTGTGGCCTTTGGAGGGATTACACCTTGAGACAAAAACATGACTAAAAAATAATGGACATAGCCACCATGACATTGCTCATTGCATTGTGGAATCCTGTTTTGAAGCCTCGAGTTTGGCATTCTGGAGCCACCATCTTGTTTTTTTGTGGGTCGGGGGGGGGGGGGGGGGGGGGGGGGGGGTTTGAGCCATAAGTGACCATATTTGTGCGAGAGCCTGGCGCTGTAGAGGAGCCAGGGGTGGATCTGACTGAGAAGCTGAGGACAGCCTGTGACCCACAGACTGTCAGAGTGGCCCACCCTTAATTACGCGTAACTTTAAGCCTTAATAACATTTTAACGGGTGAGATATATAAAAATTCACTCCTCGTACAGTTGTCATGAAGAGGGATATAAGCTATAGAAACCAAAACCATTTTTCATACCAGGCTGTAAACATGACTTCTGCCTTAAAGTTCCCATTTAAACATGGGGGTCATTGGGGATTGACTTGCTTCTAGAGCTAGCCTCAAGCAACCATTCAAGGAACTGGAGTTTTGAGCACTTTGTTGTTGGCTTTATTCTTCAGCCCCAGCGGTTGCTGCTTAGACACAAGTTGCAAACTCGACTTTGATGGATGCTTCCTGTTGCTAAGCACTGATTGCAGCACGTTGACGACTTCTTTCTGAGAAACTCTTCTTTTTTTATTGACTCCAAACCTTTGGAAATTTAAAGTCTTCACTTTGTCTTCTCAGTGAATTCTTACAAGAGCAAATATATGTGTTTATGAACTGTCAGTTCTGATGCAGGAACAAAGGAGCAAAACTGAATTATACTTTACTGTATTTCTAAAAATGTCAAGCAATATTTCTGTCAAGACAATCGCTCTTTTTTTTCTTTTTTACCAAGTGTTTTTACTGTGAATATTTTCTCTCTCTTTCCACAACTTTGTGGTTCTGTAGTGCATTAGTCAGTGCATTAGCTCCTCTGCTGTGGCATAAAAAAATCCCTCCATCTCCTCCCCCCACCCCATCAATCTCACCATCCGTCCATTTCATCATTCGTTCATCTATCCGCCATATTCCTCCGCTCCACACATACTGTCCCCTCCCATCCATCCATCCATCCATCCCTGGTCAATCCCTCTGCCTAATAATACCACTCCTCTCATCCCATTCACTTTCTTTCTCTCTCTCCCTCCCCCATCTGTCCGTCCCATCATCTGCTCCTCCACCCGCCCCTCCAGTCCCACCCCAGCGGAGATTGGTATTGACATTCTGCATCCGACCTTGAGGACAATCAATCCCAACCCCACATGTCCCCATCACACTTACACATACATACACACACACACACACACACACACACACACACACACAGCAAATACTAATACACTGCATTAAATATGATGATTATACTTTGGTAGAGATGTGCTCTCAGTGACCCGAAAGTTTTCTTGAAGTTGACTAACTTTCTCAAAAAGTCAGTAAATGCACAAACTGAACGAGACTGTGCAGACTGATAACCTGTCAACGTGACTAATTCACCTTCAGTAACAATAAAACGATAGCTCGGACCAATCTGTCCACCAGGGGCAAAGCAGGTTCCAGTGTACATGACTACAAACCCATCGTTCCTTCCACTCACATCCCCACCCAACAGTCAAGACATGAGATGGGAAACCAGGCAGGGAAAGAAATACACCCATGCATTTGTACAAGTCATCTGCAGCATGATTTAATCATTCACACAGGGATGAGACGCGGGGAATTTTGCCATCAGATAGGCTGCAAAGGATTAGGGAGGTGAAACCATCAAGAAATGACCTGAGACTATCAGCTCAGTCTGCTGATAGGGAAATAAACCACTTTTCTGTCTGTCTTGTGTCAGACCTTGTGAGTTTGGACTTGTATGTCCATCTCGGCTTGACCAGATGTTTTGCTAATTTACTTAAGGTAAAGACAATAAAACACAACTTTGTAATCTTTAAGGTTGCGGATCAACTCATAGGACCTAGAAAACGAATTCAAATTTTTAGGAATGTTGCATAACAATAAGGCGTTTGGTGCCAAAAAAAAAGTGTCCACATCCTGTCCATCTGCATCTGGTTCGCAGCAAGTTTTCAGAGCCCCAGAGTGCCTGTAGTTTCTTTTAACATGCCTTTTACAACCTAGAGCCACACTTTATGTACTACTTTATCACTTTTTTTATTCCCTTAATAGTTATAGGTATGTCTGCAGGGAAACACTCTACAATTGCTGCCTAAATATAAAGTTAAAAAAGCTGAAATAAAATCCCATTCCAAGATACAAAAGGTGTTTGCAAAGCTACTCAAACCTTTTGAATACTGCCTTGTTTTATTTTTTAAAAAAAACACTGTAGAATTTTTTCATCTCAAGGTCATGCAAATCATCAATAGTTCATCAGCAGATCAGATGGCGGCAGGATGAATTTATGATTACCTCTGATTGGTGGGTGATCCATCCTGCAGCGGCGTGCTGGGGCGTCCTGGGTGTCCGTGTGTTCTTCTGACAAATTAACTCTACAGTATTCTTATGATATCCCTTTTTATGATTTGTAGTTTGTCTCTGGAACTCAGTGATAAATTTAACTTTATCTTAATCTACTTTTGTGATTTCCTTTTTTGTGATTACTTAATTTTTAATTTCCAACTTTACAATAATGCAGTTGGTTATTTTGCTAAAATACTTCTATGATCTCCAACTTGGAATTTTATAAGATTACTGTAGCTCTGTTGTCTTAAGGGTGTGTGTTTGTAGGGAGGATGCTTTCTCTCAGCGTGACGCGCCCTCCTCCTCCTCCTCCTCTTCCTCCTCTTCCCAGAGCTCTTCCAGGAGCACTCTGATCCCGGTACGTCCTCCTGAAGTCACCTCCTCCTACACCTCGGAGAAAAAAAAGCAAAGAGTCCCTTTTACGCACGCAGCCTCGAAGGGCTCTGCTCTCTCTGTCCAAGTTGTAAGGGCGTTAAAGTTGCAAGAGATGCTTGTGATGCAGGGATCCTGTCAAAAACAGACACGCTTTTGCCGTTTTGATTCTGAAAATCTGCAGTTTTCAGAAAGAGGAAAGTGTCCTTAGTTGCAGCAGGAGAAGAGGAAGTGGAAGTATCTCCATGCAGAGTAGAAGGAGCGTTGTGATGCAGCAATACACTATTTCTGGGTGTCAAAAGAAATGATGATGAAAAGGAAAACTGCTGCTGGAGGTTGGAGTGAGAGGTTTCTGAAGTCAGAGATCGAACGCAGAACTTTAAAATAAAAAATCTTCCTTTTTTTCCCCGTTCAAAAACTGTTTCTTTTCCCGTCCTGCTGTAGTTTCCTCTCCTCTCCCCGAGAGATGAATGACTGAGAGCTGGAGGCACTTTCTCTCTCACCCCCTCTCGCTTTCTCACACACACACACACACCAGTCACCCCTCCTCCTCTCTTTCTCTCTACCCCCACCCTCTCCCATCACTGAATTCAGTTCAGTTGTGCTTTATGAACATGACGGAGCAGAAGCTTGTGTGTTACTGGAACAAATGTTGACATTAACAGATGACTGAGACAATGACTGTCAATTTCTATAATTTAATTATTTTCAACTCAAACCAGTTTGAGTTTAGAATTATGTATTAGAAAATTTTTGTTTTTGACACTGTATCAGAGAGGTGTTGATTTTAGTTTGTGGTGGTGCTTCAGATTGCACTGCAAGAAATAGATCACTTAACTTGTTCAAATTAAATTCAGTTTGATTTCAGTTCAGAGCTGTTCCAATACCGATAACAATTCTGGAAATGCCTCTGATGCTGCCTGAAATACTGGATCAGGTATCCACGAGTACACATTCTATACACCAATCAGATACCACATAATGTATTGATAAACATTTCTGGATAAAACCACAGTTTTTACCTGAGAACAATTTGTCTTTGTCTGGCTCGTTTCGCTGTCCAGCCATGGGCAATTATTGTTTCAGAGCAGCGAGGAAGAATTGTTTTGTGGTAGAAAGTGCAATGTTAGCCGTTAGCAAAATGTCATACTAGATAAAAGAAAGTTCCATGGCATTCAGTATGTATTTTTGTTTTACAAAAGGTCTAACCTGAGCCATGCCATACAACAACAATGCCAATTTTTCACTTCCATACAGGGTGCGTAGTACACAGCTGTAATTTTATTTTTATTTATTTAACGCAATCGTATCAGATCTGTACTCGGTATTGGGCATTACACAAGTTGGGGAATCAGTATCAGGAAGGGAAAAATGGTATCGGAACTTTTCTAATTTTTGATTTAAAAGTGATCCCCTGAAATTAACATAGCTGCTAGTAATGTTAGCAAACCCTTACAAGCAGAGGGATGCTGTACATGAACAAGACTTTGAGGCTGTATTTACTCTTGAAAGTCCCTCTTGAGTAGAGCTGTCTGACTTCCTCCTGACTGACGCAGATCTTAGAGTCTTTACTATTTTTATTGGGACCTAATGGCTCAAATATACATAATACAAAGACTTGTTGCAGGGGGGCTTTTGAACAATGTATTCATCATTTGACAGCTTGTTCTTTTGTAATGACTGAATATGCACAAAAGTCTTTTTCGGCTAGTCGGCATCACATGACCTGCAACTCTGACGATGGCCTATACTTCAAAATCGGTCGGTGAAATAGTGCAAAGAGCCTCCCCTACTTTGTCACCATGTCTCGGCCAAAAAGTTGCACATGAACACACCAATAAGCATGTATGTTCTGCGCCTGCATGAGAGGACATACCCCTCCACACCAGCAGATAGCGGTCGCCTATTGACGTCATCCTAAAAGAGGAAACTGGAAAACCATCTTGATGCTAGTTAGCCAGTTAGCAATTAACAACGCAATCCAATGTTGAGAACAGAGCAATATTACGGTGCACCAGGGAACAATAACATAAGAGCTTAATGGCTAAAGAAAAACAATCTTACCTCATACAACAAGTTTGTTTCGACCTCACTCCCTCTCGACAGTAGCTCTTTGTTTACGTTCCTCACTTCTGTGTCTTTCTCGTGTGCTGAGTTGAACTGCTAACCGGAATGATTTCATTCACCGATGGGCTCCAATGATTCCAGGGTAGGCAATGGTGAATGAGTTAACAGCAGAGCAGTGGTGGAAAGTAACTAAGTACATTTATTCAAGTACTTTACTTAAGTACAAGTTTGACATACTTGTAGGTCTACTTTACTGGAGTATTTTCATTTTATGCTGCTTCATAGTTCTGCTCCACTACATCTCAGAAGGAAATATTGTACTTTTAACTCCACTACATTTATCTGGCCACTGTCGTAACTTTGCAGATTAAGATTTCACAGAAGAAAAGCATTTGATTTCACCTCTGAACTTCTCACATCATTTCAGTAATTGTTTGAGGACTAAATCATCCAGTATCTCACAAAGAAAACTTATAGACTGAAGAAAAGTCCAGAAACTGAAAACAGATAAATATATTAGGACACAGTCTTTTCTTCTTTCCTCTGCCATTAATCATCTCATGACCTCTCAGATGTATCCGGTGACCCTAACAATCTGATAGTATCACATGAACTCAGATATCAGTCACAGGAGACATTTTACTACACAGCCAATACTTTTACTTTTGATACTTGAAGCACATTCAGGTGATAATACTTCTGTACCTCTACTGAATTAGGATTTGAGTGCAGGATTTTTCCTGTAAAATAGTTTTTTTTTACGTTAATGTATTGGTCCAGTGTGTAGGAGAGTGATACCGGTTGACCTCCCCTCCCCGGATCATTTTCTTATTCACAATGGAAATATAGTTTGTTCATCAAAAAAACTGCCAGGAGAGGATTCCGCAGACTACCTATAGAGGTCTGAGCTAGGCTGCATATGTCCTCAAATCCTAGAAATGCTTCTGTGTACACCTGACCTATGCATGGCTGCCGTGACTGGCCCCTGGCCTCCTGTCATTTTGCAAAAGTGGCCCCTGAGCAAAGCAAGTTGCATATCCCAGGTGTAGGATTTAGTGGCATCTAGTGGTGAGGTTGCGGATCTGAAACTTCCCCCAAGTGCAAATCATGTAGGTGAGCTACAATGACCAACGCGAAAATGCCAATGGCCCTATCTAGAGGCAGTGTTTGAGTTGTCCATTCTGGGCTATTGTAGAAACAACTTGGCGAGCTTGTGGAAGAAGCCTTGCTCCGTGTGTAGATGAAAACAGCTCATTCTAAGGCAACGAAAACACAGTGATTCTTATTTACAAGTGATTATAATGTAATGAAAACATAGTTATGAATATTACATACCAATTACTGCCAATAGATGCCCCTAAATCCAACACACTGGACCTTTCACCACTGCAAGGGAGTGAATTCAAATAGAGCACCAGTTTATTCAGGAGATTTACTTGTAGCATCGACTCCTGCCACATAACTGACTCCAAACCATGCTGTGTCTCTGATGAGGAACAGTGTATACTGTGTTGTCATGTGTAGCTGCCTTGTTCAACATGTTTTGGCAGCACCATACCTTTTATGGTCTCACCAAAAGAGAAAAGGTAAAAAGGAGATTTTCATTCATTCATTAGTTCCGTAAGGACAAGTGACATCACTGACAATATGCTGCCTGACTGTAATATGAACCTCTTCCTTTGTGTGTGTGTGTGGGTGTGTGTATGTGTATGTGTGTGGATGCTCATGCACGCACGTGTGTGAGTGGTACTGATGCATGTGTGTGTATGTGCTTTTGTCTCTTTTGGTCTGTGCCCTTACTCAGCAACTTGCAACCATCCGGCCTAAAGCAAGGCACACCAGTGTAGGCATACAAATGTGTGCATGCACACACAAATACACACACACACACACACACACACACACACATTAAAGTAACCGGACACTGGTCCCTAATGGGGGGGGGGGGGGGCCTCTGTTTCCTGTTGAGGAAAATATCTGAGATGAAACAAACTGCTGATAGAGACACACTGAGGGGGAAGACAAAGAAAATGTGATTATCTAAAAGAAATCATGTTTTTTTTCCTTGTAAGGTCTAACGTGTGTTTTGAATAGAAATTGTAAAGTCACCCACATGGTAATTCTGAAATAGGATACAAAATGTATTACAAGTCATAAACAAGCATTCATCTGACTTTATTTACTTAATCTGTTCAATTTTATAACGTGAAGAAACGTCATGAGACATGTCATTTATCATGGCGTAAATCAAATTAGCATGACATGAATGTGGGCAAAAAAAAATTAAAGTCAGACAAAAACCTCACCTTTTTAGGAGCCTGGACATGTTGTTGATCACAGATCACAAAACATTGACGTTATTATGAAATACACTGTTTACAAGTTGTCCATCACATTTTGAAGTCACAGCTTGTACTGCATCGTAGCATTTTTTTTCCACAGTTTCTGGCTTCATTTGCATTTGTTTTGGGGTACAGCTTCTTGGTGATACTATAACCTTGAAAATTGACCTCGTGATGCCCTAGCAACCACACAAAACACCCTAGCAACCATGTAGTTATACCCGACCAAACAACCAGC